TTGGAAGGTGAAGGCCACAAAACCAATAAGAATTATCTGTGGTTATATGGCTATCACGACCAGTAACGTTTATTAGGTTGGACACATTTTGGCACTTTTGACAGTAGTTTAGGGACAATGAAGTTAGAATATTGTTCACTATATACTCTTCAATTATACGAGTTAGATCTAATACTGCATGCTAAACATGCACTTATAGTTCAAGTTTTGAAGGATACAAATTGAGGAGGAAATCGTGTGAGCATGTTTGCCTTTGCTTCTTTTATCTTTTGGTATTTTGTCCATTTTGACCGAGAAAATGTGGTGTAGTTACACTCTTCTTAATGACGAAAATAGCAAGTTTCTTCTATTTTGTAGCTTTACAGTTAAGCCAAACAAGTTTTACAGATATTTTCTTGGATAGTCTTAGAACATGCTTATGAGAAAATAGTTAACTGAAAAAATGATTTTTCTTGTAGAGTAGGACCCAACAACTCGAAATCTTGGTAAGGGTCAAGTCTTCGAATTGTTATCCACCACAAAATTTTTGTTATATTTTTCAATGAATACACAATCTTCCACGATAGCCGCCATTATTATGAGCGTGTTTGTCAAGTTGAAAAGCTATAAAGTAGTTAAAAACTTGTTTGTTTTTTTTTTTTCTCGAGTCCCCTCAGGACCACTGAGGTGAGTACCCGGCCGTAAGATTCAGGGTCTTGTGGGATTAGTCGAGGTGCGCGCAAGCTGGTCCGGACATCTACAGTTATCAAAAAAAAAAAATTGCTATTTTTTCGACAATAAGTTCGATACTTCATTTTATCGTCAAGAGAAAAAAAAATTATGATACAAAAAAGATAAGCAAGAGGATGCCTTTCTTTTGCAGGCAAAAGAAAAGCCAAGCATGTTAATATACTTTATTCTAGATTTTATTTTTCATATATCTAGTCTCTTGATAACTACTCATAGCAATTTTATAATACTTACAATTAGTGTTGACTCGACGACTTTTACACAGTTCCATTGGTGATGACAAATGAATGTCGTAATCAAGATGGAACCTATCAGTAGTTTGGAGGATTGTATACTATTAATAGTGGAGAAATACTAATTTTCCATCAATATGAAAAATATCATAGACAAATCTTGCCCATGATTGTGATTATTGAGGTGACATTTTGTCTGTTATGCAGCAAAAATTGAATTCATCTCAAAGTTTGAGTGGTAAAAGAAGTGAAGAAAAATAAGTGGTTTCTTAGATATTTTCAATTTTCTAAATGCAAACTCAATTATGGACATATATCAATCATATTTTTACATTTCTTTTTATGTTATTAAGTTGATTGCTTAACCAGTGTGAAGATTGATCAAGATTCATTCCAAGTGTGAACTAACGCAGTTTAAGATTTATATGAAAAGTTGTTGACTAGCATGCTCTGCTAATCTTAAGAGTAATGCTATTTAACCACATTAGGGTTACAATACCAGTTTAGAGTATCACCAAGAGACTCTTTAAACATGAGATGTTTTCTATTTTAAATAGTTAACATTTAAAATCTTACTTCAAGAGACTCTTCAAATTAACATTTTAATTTAGAGAGTAAGTTTACTCTCTATAATTAAATGAATTCAAAATGTTTTAATTTTCAATGTAGGAAAANAAATGCATTCAAAAAGTTTCAATTTTCAATGTAGAAAAGCAATAAAATAATCTATAGAAAAACTAGTTAAAATAAAAGATAAAGAAAAATAATAAATATTTTTTGGGAATAGTAAACTTAAGTGTTAAATATAAAGAGCTTGTTGGAGTACATCAAAATTTTAACTCTTTAAATTTATAGATGCTCTCCAAATGATAGAATATGCTCTTTAAAAATAAAGAGTCTATTAGACATGTTCTTAGGTGGCGTTAATGTGACATTAAATGATAGGTCTATCATTTCATGTCACATTAACACCACTTAAACTGTGATGCGTGCGTTAATGTGACATTCAATGACAAACTTATCATTTAATGTCACATAGACTGAGATTTTAACTCCAGTGAGGCTACATAGCATTACTCTAATCTTAAATATCATTTTTAAGTTACTTTTATGTGATAAGTGACAACTTACTTTTTCTTTCTTATTTTTAAATATATGTTTATTCTATAAGTAACTATATCCTTATTGTCAAAATAATTAACTTATTTCTAATGTAGATTTGTAAATGAATTATTTATTTGGAAAATTATTTACTTACAAGTAAACTTGTGAAGCATAGCCGAAGATGGTCTTAGTTGGATGGTTGTAAGGAGTAATTTCTAACCTGTCCTTCCCTAGTATTCCAACCCGCAATGAGTTAATTGGATACAAGATATAGTTGAATCGATCGGTTCTTGATTTGTTTAAACAGTTTCTAACTTCAATGTTTTTACACGAAATCGGAGTAGTTCTCAATTTTTGGGATCGAACTAGCCAGTCTGATATGATTTTGACAGCATTGAGATTTGAGTGACAGAACTTAAAAAGTCCTTCCTTGAATTGAGTTAGTATTATGACACGTACAAGTTGCTTTCTTGCCCCACACCCTTGAATCCAGTATGTGATTCCACTCAAGTCTTCTTAATTACATCCTAATTCCTTCAATAAACTATCTACAAAAGAAAGATTCCTTGAACGGTCTTAAAGTTAAAATCCAAAGTGGGTTGGAGGGGAGAGATGGACAATGCAAGGGAAAATAACACAGAAAATGGAACGAGATTGGAAGATGAAGAATTGTCAGTAGAGAGGATATTTGAGAATAAGGAGGTGCCTTCATGGAGAAAACAGTTAACAATAAGAGCTTTTTCAGTGAGTTTCGTGTTGTCAGTGATGTTCTGCTTCATAGCAATGAAGTTCAATCTCACTACTGGTATTACACCATCTCTGAATGTCTCGGCCGGTCTATTGGGATTCTTCTTCGTCAAGACTTGGACAAAACTACTCGAGAAATCTGGCATGTTGAAGCTGCCTTTCACCCGCCAAGAAAATACTGTCATTCAAACCTGCGTAGTTGCCTCCTCTGGCATCGCTTTTAGCGGTCAGTAAATATGCTCTTAATTCTTCTTCTTCTTCCCCTCTCACACACAAACACTTTTTCCATAAAGAAAATTCAACCTGATCTTGTACAGGAGGCTTTGGAAGTTATCTATTTGGAATGAGCGAACGTGTTGCCAAACAATCAGGAGAATCCAAATATGGATTGGACTACAAGAACCCAGCAATAGGCTGGATGATAAGCTTTCTTTTCGTGGTTAGCTTTCTGGGACTTTTTTCCGTGTTGCCTCTCCGAAAGGTATTCCTTAGCCTTTGCTAAGACAAATTTGAGTTTAGTGAAAGTAGAAAACTACTGAATGAGCCATATTACCAGCAAAATCTTACGATTAAGCTCTATAGAAATTAACAAATAACATCTAATGGATCGTGATGATGTACCACACTTTTTTGTGTGTAGACGATGATAATAGACTTCAAGTTGACCTATCCTACTGGCACTGCTACTGCACATCTTATTAACAGCTTCCACACTCCTGAAGGAGCCAAACTAGCAAAGTAAGTTGCCATTCCTGTTATAACTAAAATCTCATTTATAAGTTAATATAGAAATTAACAACAAAAAGTGAGGGAAAATATTAGAATAAGAAGGATTTCTAAATTTGTATTTAGGAAACAAGTCAGAGAATTGGGCAAGTTTTTCTCCTTTAGCTTCTTCTGGGGTTTCTTCCAATGGTTCTTCAAGGCTGCTGAAGATTGTGGATTCTCAAACTTCCCAACATTTGGATTAAAAGCATATGAATACAAGTAAGCATAAAATGTTCTCTTTCTTATTTAGCAAAGTAAAATGTCTTCGCTTCTTTTTGCTTAACTCACCACACAGTCGTTGGACAAAGCATCTTGCAATTGAAGACTGGTCTGGATTTTTGACTGCTTTTCAAATTAATACTCATTTTTAAACCTACAACAGACTTGAACTGAGGCCTAATTTTGTTAAGTCCTGCCTGCTAGCATCAAAGTCAACAATCATGAACTTAAGTCATTTTTTCTGTGGATTAAACTTCCGTTTTCGAACTACAGGTTTTTCTTTGATTTCTCGGCAACTTATGTTGGAGTAGGGATGATCTGTCCTCACATCATAAATGTTTCCATGCATGTTGGAGGAATACTCTCTTGGGGAATTTTGTGGCCACTAAATGAAACTAGAAAGGGTGATTGGTATTCTTAAATGTTTCCATTCTTGTTGGAGGAATTCTGTCTTGGGGTATTTTGTGGCCTCTAATTGAAACTAGAAAGGGTGATTGGTATTCTGCTGATCTAGACCCACATAGTTTGCAGGGGCTTCAAGGTTACAAGGTGAATTCCTAACACACCATAAATTTCACCCAATACTGAATATTATTTTTCTTTTTATCAAGTACCATTCACTATAACAAAATGTCAACTAAAATTACATCAGGTATTCATTGGCATCGCCATGATACTCGGTGATGGCCTATACAACTTTTTCAAGGTTTTCAGCCGAACTCTAGCTGGGTTGTTTAACAAAATTCAACTCAGAAATGCAAATATGCAAATCCCAGTGGTAGAACATTCCTCTCCTGTCGGAAAATCACTCTCATTTGATAACCAACGCCGTACCCAACTATTTCTCAAAGAGCAAATCCCAACATGGTTTGCAATTGGAGGCTATTTCACCCTTGCTGCAGTCTCGACTGCAATCCTTCCTCAAATCTTCCACCAGCTCAAGTGGTACTACGTAATTGTTATCTACTTGTTTGCACCAAGCTTGGCCTTCTGTAACGCATTTGGGTGTGGGCTCACTGATTGGTCACTCGCATCTACCTACGGGAAGCTAGCCATCTTTACAATTGGGGCATGGGCAGGGGCCTCGCATGGTGGAATCCTTGCTGGTTTAGCAGCATGTGGAGTGATGATGAATATAGTTTCCACTGCCTCTGACATCATGCAGGATTTTAAGACAGGTTACTTAACCTTGGCTTCACCCCGTTCAATGTTTGTGAGCCAAGTGATTGGCACTGCTATGGGATGACACTAAAGAGGAACACACAAAACCATTTTCTACAAAGCTTTTCCTGATCTTGGGCTTCCTACAAGTGAATATCCCGCTCCCTTTGCTACTGTCTACTATAGCATGGCTAAACTTGGGGTTGAAGGATTCTCAGCTTTACCAAAGGAATGCCTCAAGCTATGCTGTGGATTTTTTGCTGCATCCATTTTCATCAACTTAATAAGAGATGGTCTGGGAAAGAAACGTTCGTGGTTTATTCCACTTCCAATGGCAATGGCGATACCGTTTTATTTGGGTTCCTATTTTGCCATTGATATGTGTGTTGGTAGCCTCATACTTTTTGTGTGGCAGAAGATAAACAGAGCCAAGGCAGATGCCTTTGGGCCTGCAGTAGCTTCAGGTTTGATTTGTGCTCTACCGTAGACCTGAAACGGATCCTCTATACTAGCTCTAGCCGGGGTGAAACCTCCAATCTGCATGAAGTTCCTGTCGAGGGCTACAAACACTAAGGTAGATAAGTACTTGGGATCCTAGATATGCTGGGGGTTAAAAATTAATTTGTATCAGAAGGAGTATCGCCTTCATAATCCAAAAAGTGTATTAATACATAAGAGAATAAATTTATGTTTCTGCAATATGGATGCATCTCAACAGCACTTCGCAATACATATTCAATACTACATGCTAGTTTTGAAGGATACAATGTGGGGGAGGAAATCGTGTGAGCATGTTTGTCTTTGCTTCTTTTATCTTTCGGTATTTTGTCCAGATTGACCAAGAAAATGTGTATAGTTACACCCTTCTTGAAGTCGAAATAAGCAAGTTTCTTCTATTTTTGTAGCTTTACAGTTAGGCCAAACGAGTTTTACGACTATGCTCAATGATTGTATCCAAGAAGGGATTTACCTTGAGCCAAATTTACACCATAATTTAACTCTTTAAGAAAACAACCATTTTTTCCAACAGATTTACCTCATATATTGCCAATATTAATTCCAACGGATACTTTCACATATTCTCATCAATAATCGTGTAACGTACAGTTGGGAAAAATTCAATAGAAGTAATGAATTTTCTTGTAAAGTAGGACCCAATATTTTAAAACTTTGTTGGGGTCAAGTCTTGAGTGTAACATTTTTCAATGCTCAAAAATTTCCACGATCCTGGGGCCGCCTATTATTATGAGTGTGTTTGTCAAGTTTAAACGTTGTAAAGTAGTTAAAAACTTGCTTCTTTCGACAATAAGTTCGATACTTCATTTTACCGTCAAGAGAGAGAAAAAAATTATGATACAAAAAAGGTAAAGCCAAGCATGTTAATATACTTTATTCTAGATTTTTTTTTCATGTATCTAGCCTCTTGATAACTGTTGAAGATATGAAAAGAATAATCTCTCTGATATTTTTTCAATAGTGTATGATTATTTTACTTAATAGTTGATTTTATATTTATTATGCAATCTTTCCTTTTAGAGCTGTTTATAGCCCTATAAATATGATCTTTTACTTTATAATAGACACAAGTTTAATATATACGATTTATAATATTCTTCACAATAACTACTCATATCAATTTTCATAATACTTAGAGTTAGTGTTGACTCGATGACTTTTACACAGTTCCATTGGTGATGAAAAAATGAATGTCGTAATCAAGATGGTACCTATCGAGTAGTTTGGAGGTTTGTATACTATTAAGAGTGGAAAAATACTAATTTTTTCTGTCAATATGAAAAATATCATAGAAAAATCTAGTCCATGATTGTGATTATTTAGGTGACATTTTATCTATTTTGTAGCAATAATTGAATTCATTTCAAAGTTTGACCGGTAAAAGAAGTGGAGAAATAAGTGGGTTCTTAGTTATTTTCAATTTTCTAAATGCAAACTCAATTATGGACATCTTTTTACATTTCTTTTATGTTATAAAGTTGATAGCTTGACTAGTTTGAAGATTGATCAAGATTAATTCCTAGCGTGAGCTAATGCAGTTTAAGATTTATAAGAAAAGCTGTTGGCTTGTAGCATGCTATGCTAATCTTAATAATCACTTTTAAGTTACTTTTATGTGATTACTTTTTTTTTCTTATTTTTAAATATATGTTTATTCTAGAAGTAACTATAACCTTATTGTCAAAATAATGAACTTATTTCTAATGTAGATTCGTAAATAAATTATTTATTGTGAAACTTATTTACTGATAAGTAAACTTGTGAAGCTTAGCCAAAGGTTGTCTTAGTTGGATGGTTGTAACTTGT